GCCGATGCCCTACCCTTTCTTCCCCCTCGGCCCTCATTGTGTTAGCACCGAAAACAACCGCTGCAAGGTACAAGGTAATTGGGTTTAGGGCATAGCGCATGATGTCTGCGTCCTCTCGAGCGAGACATTGATGAACTCCGACATTACAGATTCACGCAATATGAAGTGCTCTCCTCCGCCACCCTCATGAATGCCTAATCCCCTAGCTCACGAATTCCTCACTTTTCATCCAAGGAAGCGAACGAGCTGTGCACTGACGACTCCCCTCCCCCCTTGGACTACCTTAGTACTTCTGAAATTTCGCATATCACGATTACCCAGCATACTTGTGATCACGATTCATTTGGTAATGGCGCTAGGGCTACACCGTATTCGCATCGTCCTCGGAAAAGTCTTGGTCAGATGTCTTTTCGGCGCTATGTGGCCCGGGGACAGTCTGTAGGAGGTCCAGGGCCAAGCAACGACGAGGGACGAATTTCCGAAGAGAAGAATTTGCTATACACACCCGATCACTGAGCTCTTCTGCTCTAAGGTTTAGTTCTAAAACTGAGCGTCACCATGAATTGACGCAATGTTACGGGCTACCCTCCCCCGGAGCCACTTTGCGCCAAGCTTCAATATTTTACTCTCGAAGCGTTGTCAAGAAGTGCAGTCGGTGCTAACTTAGTTGGGGGGGCCACGCGGCGGCGCGGCAGTCTGCTCACCTGGGCCTCTCTCGAGCGAGACAGTGTAAACTCGAACATTCCAGCTTTTCACGCATGTCAAGTGACTGCCCCCACCCCCCAACCCCCTAGGCTGGCTACACTCCCCCTGGCCCACGGATTTCCGAACATGCCAGACGAGCAGACTGCCGCGCCGCCGCGTGCCCCCCCCCCCCCCAACTAAGTTAGCACCGTCCAATTTAAATCATCCAAATACATGTGTAAGCCATGAAACCCTCAAATAGTAAGGGACCTCAAAGCTTGAACAACAAGCTCTCGCACGTACCTCTCCCAATACTTTGGCAACCAAGAGGCTAATATTGTAGTTTTTGGTTACTAGTAATCCCGAAAATGGTCCATCACATTAAAACAATCCATTAATTCTTTATCCTTGGCGCAATGTTGCAAATCCCGCGCACATTCAAATTCAACATTCGTGCAAGGACTCATCGATACGCATCAGGGAGGCGTGGCAATTTGAACCACTATTATGCTGCGATACACATCGTGCAGGTATTGATCGTTGTGTTTGTATGAATTGATCGTCATTAGATCCATCTAACTTGGAACTGTTAACGATTATTTGTCCTACGTAAAGCTACCTCTTGTTGACCCATTTGCTGTGTCACTCACATGTTTTCTTTTGTTTTCTTCCAGTCCTAGCCCACTTTTAAGGTAGAGCTAGGGTGAGCCATTTGTGATTCTTCCATGAATGCTCGAGATCTTCACAAAAAGCTAGAATCACAGCACGAACAAATCAAGCTCTACGAGAAGAAACTAAAAGGCAAGTTTCAGAAAATAATTGTTTTCATGATTTTTGCTTATTCATTGTCATTGTCGCAGTTTAGGCGCATGTCATAAGCAGGGGGAGCATCGTTAAGGACAAGGTTTAGGAGGGGAAACGAATTTGTGTAAATGAAACTGACCCATGCACCTGAGTCTCATCTAACGGCCGCCTAGAGGCTTCAGTCCCTTTCAAAGCAAAAAAGGGGCATGTGTTACACTGTTTCAAAAGACTGCTTATCCTAAGTGCCCCGCATACGCGATGAGCCGTCCCAATGGTTATTTTATCGAGTAAAAATCTTTTTCTTATGGACATCTTCCAGATGTTGTGCGAGCCTATAAAAGCCTTGAGACCGAGAAAACTGCTTTACAAAATGCGTTGAATTCCTTGTCTCCGGAAGGTGCTGGTGATCAACAGCTCGTTTCTGCGACTGACGATGTATGGTAATTTACTGGATAGTTTTACTAATACTGCTTTGATTGCACAGTAAAGATTTCCAGTAATTCGGTTCTTTTCCAGACAACAGTTGAAAGTCTCAAGGCTGCTATAGCCACACTTACTCGAGAAAACTCGAAAAAAGAGGCAGCATTTCAGAATGATAAGAAGACGTTACTAGTAAGCGAATTAAGCGTTTATCTTATTGACTGCGATCTGTGTACATTCATATCTTTCGCTTTTAGAATGAGAACGCTACCCTCAAAGATCAGCTCAAAAAGGCGAACGATAGCTTGGCCAGTGCAGAAAAGAATCTCAAGGTAATTCTTTTTTATCTTGATTTTTCTAACCGCTACTTAATTCTTTATATTTAATATTTGTTGGTGTTGCTGTGTCGGGTTTTCAAATCACCCTATCATGACAGCAATGTGAGTTGCGTATTTGTCGCGCACCCGTATCTAAGTGGGTTGTAAGTGCCGAGTCATACTTTGCGATTTTGCGCCTTTTCGTGGAGTAGATAAGTATCGATCATACACGCGATCGCGCGAGCGTAGAATCGCATTGTCGATACGAATTTACTCTCTATTCAAACTGCAAAAGCATGACCCTTAGCAGTACAGACGTGGCGTAAGAAAGTCAATATCATATCGATTGATCCATTGTCCTAAGTATATCACTTATCTGCCAATGCAGTAGCACACGCATAGGCAACATCAAAATGTCGAGATCACGGATAGCTTTGCTGTTGATTATCTGGTTCCACGTCCGTTGTTGCTGAGTCTGCATTTACTGCTCATGTGGTTGCGGGAGACAAAGTGTAATCAGACCCGAAGTTGGATTGAGCTTTGCTGTGGTGTTGTAGTTGTGGTCACTCGCTTTTCCTCGCTTCTTGGCATTTCGGGTTTTTTGGTAGCGCTATCGCAGATGTGGGCATTAGCAATCATTAAACCTGCAGATACGTCTATTTGTTAAAACGAAACTAAACTTAGCGGGGTAGAGAGCTCCATGTACGGACGCAAAAATTTTCTTTCTATGCAATTTCGCCCTACTAGGAGAAGATGCCCCATATCTTGCAATAATGCCCTTACTGTTTGGATTGAGTGCCATGACATCTTTAGAGTTGTTTCTCTAATTACTATTAGAACACTATTCTCGGCATGAGCCAAGGTGTTCCAGCAGACTCGAGCGCGTAATGGTCAACTGTCGTCCAGTTTTTATCTCAGTTACAACGATTAGCGCAATTTTTCACTTTGGAATTCTATTTTCAAAAAGCAAAAGAGAGGTCTCACATGTTCTCAGTTCAATCAAGCGTGACCTCGCCTTACTTCCATTTCTCATTTGTGCATCATTACGCATATTTTGCCTTCGCTCGCAATTCTGCGTTCACTTAATACATACAGTAGTCTTTTATATTTTCCCGGACTTTCTTGACTGTGAGCGTCAACCTTTTTTGCATCAAATTTCATAGCTAACTGAGTTGTTGCTGTTCATCAGCGCTAATGTACTAAATAAATAGATCGGCCGTAGTAATTACAAATTATCGGGGTCAGTAGACATGACTTCACGAGGGAATTGAAGTTCTCTGTTTCCAAGTTACTATTGTAAGGATCGAAAACAGGGTTTTAATGGGTCGAAGGTCCTCAGCGGAAGCTCGTGCATGTCTTGATGGGAGAGGAACGACCAAAAATGCATTTGGTGAAGGGCGTATCCAGGGAATTCGGGAATCGTATTTGGATTTTCCGCGTTCCGGGCGGTACTCTTTTGGAGAAAAAGGTGGATTATGCAATGATTCCGTGCGAAGAAAGCTCAAGGTCCGTGTGTTAATCTGGGGAACGCAACGGAACGGTTCTTTAGGGGCTTGTCAGCAGAGAAAAATGCAGCGTTTTTTGACCATGATCTACCGAACGCCTGTGTGCTTAACGAGCCATGGCCATGTCAACTATTGGGCCTCATTCAACCATCACAAACTCCAAATACTACATCGACGACAAATTTCGGCAAGCTCTGCGTCCAGGTAGTTCGGATTGACTGAGAACGATTGTGAAAGTTGTTGGTCTTCACGCACCGCTGGTTCCCAATTTTCCACAGATACTCTAAATTTGCCTCAGGCCACACTATTCTCTCAGAATATCCGATGTCACTCTTCATAAATTAGCGGCCACTGGAATACCTTTGGCAACGGAGCCTTCAGAACTATTTGCTTACTTGCGGAATGCGTTTCAGTTCTCCTTCTCAGGTCATTGGCTGTAAGTGTATCTGTTCTCCCTGGAGTTGGGACGAAAATATTTTTCGAATTTTCTTCTTCCCAAGCTGATTAGTTCCGATGAAGGGCCTTACACTCAATATAATTGTGTAGGATAAAGATGAAACATGGCATTGAAGATGACGAAACATTAGTTCAGAACAAAAAAAGTTCAAAGGATTTTCGTCTCCCACACAACCATTACGGCAGTGGGGGTACCTTACGCACCCAGGTCCTCAATTAAAACAACATCACTCATGATGTTCGAGCAAGCCTAGGGCTAATAGTTTCAATCATTGGCTTAAAGCAAAAGCCATTGTGTAAGCACAAGCCTCAGCGTGAGCACAACCTTGAGCTTCAATGATCGCGCAGCTCTAGTGACCTGATCTAGCAGCAGAACTGAACGCCTCCCCTTGTGCGGACGGCTGGAGCTGTAATGGTTGAATAGTGCCCCCAAATGGCCATGCGTTGCATTTTCCCTTTGTCGAGTTCTGCATGAGGATGTGATAAGTCCGCATCGCTTATAGTATAAAATGGTTTCAGAGCTTGCAAGCCAAGCTACAGCAGGTTGATGTAGACCGGGAGAGAGAGCTTGTTGATCATGGCAAAGTTTTAGCCGAAATGCAGGCGAGATACGCCAAGGAGCATCAATCACTCGAGGCTACATCCAAAGAAGTATCCACCAAATTTTGCAAAACTCATAATGACGTGTCACTGTGAGGTTTATTTTTATTTCAGACAACGGCGCTCAACAAGAAAATCAGTCAGAAAGATGAATTGATCAATCAGCTCAAATCACGTGAGGCTCAGCTGATTTGCCAAGTTTCAACACTGAACAATGAAGTCAAAGGAGCTCACAGAGAAGGCCTATCACGTCCCCTCTGTTCAGATTCTGAAAGACGAGTTGGCTAATTTGAAGGTAGGATACGCGATCATTTTTCTTAATTTTCTCGCTTCCCTTGGCTTCATTTTTCACGGGATTTGTTATTTTGTCCGGAAAAAATGCAAGAAATCTAGATTGATCATGCTCGTGAGCTGGTTGACGCTGTGGTCAAGGCTAAGCACACGACACAGCTGGAAGAACAAGACCGTGCTTCAGCAAAAATAGCTGAATTAGAAGAGAAGACAATGAGTTTACTGGAAACGGTCGCGCGAAGTGAAGAAGCACGAAACGAAGCTTACGATGCCTTCCTGCAGTCTGAGATGGAAAAAGCTACGCTCGTTGAGGTGAGGTTTGCTTTCGTGTATCGCTTTACTTGTTGCCATTTTTTTTTCTACGCATTTTGCCTTTGAATACCATTAGCTCCAAAGAACTCATTCCTAGCCAAGAAAGAGCAAACTGTTGGTTTTTTCGTCCCTCATTGATTTAAACACTCCAAGGTCGTAATGGCAAGAAGGCCACGGAAAACGAACATGCATCATTTGGTATGTCAGTTTCTCGAAAATAGGCCAACGCAATCGTCTGAAATTTTCTCTTCGTTAAGTATTGGTCCTCCACAACCGCCTGAGGATATTGCGATTGTGCTAATCTAACGCTAGTACGATTCCCCATCTGTTTATCGACTTTCGCCATCAATTTTGCTTATGGCGCTCGAATGTTTTACGAAGTTATTACGCAAATGAAGACATGGAGTGATCATTTTGTACTCCTACTGACTAGTATAGGGCGCCATTCGTTGCGGGACCCACTGCCTTAACCCGCGGGGATCCCATGTGATCGCGGTTGAATTCGAACATTCCAGCTTCTCACGCATGTCAAGTGTCTGCCCTCACCCCCCACCCCCCTAGACTGGCGACACTGCCCCTGGCTCACGGATTCCCCGCTCCACATTGAAGGGTTCACTGTAGCAGGAGGCAGTGGGACCCGTAACGAATGGCGTCCTTTACTAGTCAGAAGGAGTACAAAACGATGCGTTCAAAGACGATATCCACAATACCCGCAATTTAGTTCTGTATTTTTTCTCAAATGTGGGCTAGTCACATACGAAAAAGACAGCTTTTTGAGAACAGCTTGCCATCGATTTCTCGCGGTCGGTCACCTTTGTGAGTAACCCGATATTTCGGTGCTGGATTCCTTAACTATGAAGGAACGTTCTTGAGCCGCCCTCGCTTCGACTATACCTTCATCACGTTTTTTTTTGTTAACGATTGCTTCGGCAGCGATCGGTTCTGAACTCATCCGAGATCATTAAGCTTTTTTGCTCGCGTTCAAACTCCATAATCCAAAATTGTCATATATTAAAATCTGTGGGAGATTGTGGGCTCTCGGGTAAAGTCAAAATCACCGAAAGTTCCAACAAGATCGGCGATAAAAGCCACTAATCAAAGCAAGCGGCAGGATTTGTGGTCAACTTGACTGTATCTGTGATTAAGCACTATTTCTCTACCCTTAAGACGATTCATAGTCGGTCGTCGGATCGCTACGATTGTTACCATTGTAAACGATCGCATGTGTTAGGCGTCAGACGGTCGGTACGTATCTGATGCTGTGAGACTGTTACGTTCAAACGACCAACTATGCATGTGCCCTATTGTTAAAAAGGCTGACCTGATTTGATCCAATAGTTTACTCTTCGTCCTTTTTCCCATCTCCATTCGCGCTCCTAAGCTGAGCAAGGAAGAGGACTACGTTATCTACGCAGAGAGAGAAGAGCCATTACTATTTTTCTGTAAGAGACGTACAACTTACGCGTGTTAAAGAATAACCTGCTGTCAAGTGTAAAATAGGTTGCTGTTTTGTGCGAGACTACGAAAATTCTCCTTCTAGTTAATAGGTGTGACGAACAATATAAAGGATCTGTTGCTTTCTATGCTTTTTGGGACAAAGATAGTTATTTAGGAGTTGTGTCAGCTGCGCAGGCGACACAATGACTTTGACGATTACGAACCTACAGAGGATGATGCGGTGACTCGATTACAATCAATCATCGCAGAAATTCGCGAAACAAAGCCTGGATTCGATATTTTTGGTGAGTTTTCCGTTGCTGATCTTTATCAGGTGAATTGGCGCGTGATGGACTTTTTGCAGCTCTAATTGGACCAGATGAGGAGAAAATCAGACTGCAGCATGAGTATCGGAGCTTGAAAGAAGAGCACGAACAGTGTAAAAGTCGCTTAGAAGTGCTTACAGCCAGTAATGCAGTAAGTTATTTCCTCTTTCCCTTCTTGTACCTCCAAGAGGTTGTCTTTTCTGGGTTGCTCTCTTTTAGCGCCTTAGAATTTGCTTTCTTCAACCTTTCTTACACTTATGTGAATCCCCTTTATTTTCAGCAATTTGCTCTCAATTCTGATGGCTCAAGGGAAGAGTCCTTGCGAACTGTAGCAGAGCAGTTTCAGAATAAAATTCAAAAGTTGATTGCTGTGCATGCTAAGGATAGGGCTCTTCACGAAAAGGTAAGATATTGCCGTCTCTCTGTTGTTATTTTTCTCAGTTTTTTTTTCAGTCGAACATGTTTCAATACATCTGAGGGGTAGGATTGATGATTATCGCTCCTTTTCCTCGACCACAATCCATAGCAGTGTTAACGACCTTTTATGAGGGCTTTCCTATTACCCTTTAACACTTTGAAACCCATATGTAG